ACCCGCCCTCTGCTGCCCGCTGGCCATGTAAGAGCTGCCCGGGTCTGAGACCGCTGGTTAGAGGCCGTGTCCGAGCGGGTCCATGACGCCGGCCGGGCCCAGGGCCCGTGGGCCAACCCAGCTGAGTCGGGCCTCTGGGGGACGACGGGGACTGTGAGCACAGAGAGCGCTTCCTGGGCCCTGCTGGGGGACCTTGGCCAGCACCGAAGATGCCCACCAACGGCCTGCACCAGGTGCTGAAGATCCAGTTTGGCCTTGTCAACGACACAGACCGCTACCTGACAGCTGAGAGCTTCGGCTTCAAGGTCAACGCCTCAGCGCCCAGCCTCAAGAGGAAGCAGACATGGGTGCTGGAGCCTGAGCCAGGGCGGGACGCAGCCGTGCTGCTCCGCAGCAGTCACCTGGGCCGCTACCTGTCAGCCGAGGAGGATGGGCGGGTGGCCTGTGAGGCGGAGCGGCCGGGCCGTGACTGCCGCTTCCTGGTGCTGCCGCAGCCCGACGGGCGCTGGGCGCTGCAATCGGAGCCGCACGGCCGCTTCTTCGGAGGCACCGAGGACCAGCTGTCCTGCTTCGCCACAGCCGTTTCCCCGGCCGAGCTGTGGACCGTGCACCTGGCCATCCACCCGCAGGCCCACCTGCTGAGCGTGAGCCGGCGGCGCTACGCGCACCTGTGTCCACGGGAGGACGAGATCATGGCGGACAGCAACACGCCATGGGGTGTGGACGCACTCATCACCCTCATCTTCCAGAACCGGCAGTACTGCCTCAAGTCCTGCGACAGCCGCTTCCTGCGCAGCGATGGCCGCCTCGTCTGGGAGCCCGAGGCCCGCGCCTGCTACACGCTCGAGTTCAAGGCGGGCAAGCTGGCCTTCAAGGACTGCGACGGCCGCTACCTGGCGCCCGTGGGGCCGGCAGGCACGCTCAGGGCTGGCCGGAACACGCGGCCCGGCAAAGATGAGCTCTTCGACCTGGAGGAGAGTCACCCGCAGGTGGTGCTGGTGGCCGCCAACCACCGCTATGTGTCTGTGCGGCAAGGTAATGGCTGCAGGGCTGGCCTCGCTCTCAGCTCTCAGCGTGGGGGTCGTGCAGGGAGGGGCACCGTGGCTGGGGGGTGGCAGCGTGCAGTGTGGGTGGGTGGGCCGGGGGCCAGGGATGGAGTCCCCGCTCAGGGCTGCTGGCTTTAGGATCTTAGAAAGGGGGTCGTTCTCGGGACAGCTGGGGGAGGTCTCAGCTGAGCCTTGGGCCTGCTGGGCAGCTGCCGAATGCGGGATGGGCAGCGTGTAGCGGGACGTGGTCGAGGCCCAAGTCTGCTGCCATGAGGGGCAGGAGGGCAAGCCCCGCCCACATTGGCCTGCCCACCGCCCTCCCCTTCCCTTCCACCACCCAACTTCTGAACTTTAAAGGAAATGGGAGGCAGGGCAGGAATCCAGCAGGAGTGGAGGCAGGGCAGAGCAACTGCTCCCACAGCTCCATGTGCCTGACCAGTGGGAGTCCTCGTCCGGCCCCAGGGGTGGGGAGGGGCCTGGGGTCTCTCCTGTCCAGGCCCAGCCATTAGCACCTGGAGGGGTGGTCCAGCTGTGGCTCTAGGGGCCCCTGCTTGCAGTACGGGTCTTCAAGGCCAGTGCAGAAAAGGGACCAGCATTCAGCAAACACCCCTGAGCGCCTGTGGCATGTGGTCAGGTCCTGGGGAATGACAGAGGACAAGCAGCCAGGCCCTTCTCATCACAGGCCCTACCATTCAGCCACACCGCCTTCACATGCTTGCCTTGGCAGTAAAAGGCAGGCCACGGTGTGAAAAGCTTTCTCCGTGAGTCACAGGAGATGCTAGATGCAAAGTATTTGTCCACGGTCAGCTTGTGAGTGAGACTTGTGGTGGTGGTGAAGCTAGAGGCGACACTGGTGGTACAGGCGGTGGCGGTGGCGTGACGGCCAGGATGGCCGTTGGGACAGAGATGCGCTAGTGACAGAGACTATGGTGACAGCGCTGAGGGATGGCGGCTGTATAAACCACTTTTCACTCCCTGGCCCACCCTGCATCTGACCCCACCCCTTTGATGGGGGACTCCCCCACGAAGGACCAGCTACGTCTCCCACTGCAGAGGCTGGAAGGACCCCACACTCGCTTCCCTGCTTTCCCTGCAGTGAGCCTGAGGGCATGGGCCTGGCCTTCAGATATTCAGATGTTGACTTGGCTACCAGTGATTCGACAAAGCAGAGTGTGGCATCTCAGTTCTGGGAGAGGAGCAGGTGGTGCCGCTAGATTCCGAGGCAGCTGGAGTGGCGGCTTCGGCAGACTGGTGGTGCCTCCGTCCCGCCACTTGGCTGGCCAAGCAGCCCCCAAGCCGGCCTCCTCCCTGCCAGGGGTTTGTGAGCACCCTGGCTTCTCCTTGTGATGTTGATTTATTTTTGGCCGCCTCCACCAGCCGGAGTCTGCCTGTTTCCGCTGTGGCCCTCACCAGCGTGGTGCTGCTGACAGGCAGCCCAGGAGGCAGCATTCGTGGCTGCAAGTAACAGAAAAATGGCTGCAAACTGGCTTACACTGTAAGGATGCTGACGATCTCCCAGGAGTGGAAGTCGCAGGCGGGGGTGGTGGGGAACCAGGCAGGACACCACCGCCGGCTCAGCAGCATCACCAGGGTCCTTGGCTCTTTCCTCCTCGAGGAACCACTCTCCTGGGACAGCTCTGACCTCAGGCTGCTGCCTTCGGGCACAAGACGGCTGCTGCTGCTCCAGGCCTCATATCCAGAGTGGACAAAGCCCAAAGGAAAGACTCTTCTGTGTCTTCATAGGAGTAAGGAAAGCCCTCCGTAAAAGCCCTCGCTCTCCTCGCTCACACACCCACACTCAACCAGTCCTGCTGGGACGGCAGGGTCCGCACCCTCTGCCGCCACTATCCAGGACTCCGTGAGCCTCTCCAGCCTCAAGGTCGCAGCCCCAGGAGCAGATGGTGTGTTAGACGGAACCCCTGGGCCGCAACCGTCTGGAGGGGGTGTGTTTGGGGCGATGCTGGGGACACCAACAGGGTTGGCCTCGGAGATAGGGTGGAGGTGTGCAGCCGCAGCCTAGGCCCCCCTGCCACGCCCCTCCCGCAGGCCCTACAGGGGCGCTCCCTCACCCTTGGGGTCTGCTTCAGCGTCGCCTCCTCCATGAGGCCATCCCTGGTCCAAGCCCACAGCATCCACAGGCGTCAGACACACCCTTTCTGTTGTCCGCTGCTCCCAGTGGACCAGCGCGGGGAGGGCCCGGATCGCTGTCTGTCTTGTTACGGCGGATGGCAGGCCCAGGGCAGCAGGCGCTTACTTTGTTCAGTGTTGCTGATGGGATGGTGGGGTCGGCGGCGGTGGGAAGGCTGGGCCACCTACTTGGGCTCTGAGTGGTGATCCATGTAAGAGTGGAGACAGACCCCAGCCTGGGGGGTGTGGGGTGGGAGGGAGCAGCCTTTGGCGACTGGTGAAGAGTGCCAGGTCCTGCCCTCTCCAGTCTGGCCCTGCCTGCTTTCCACCCTCCCTTCCCCAGGGCAGGGCAGGAGAGGCCGAGCCCCGACCCTCAGGCCCTGATGGGGTTCTGTCCCACTCCCTGCTGGAGCCCAGCCTCGGGGGTGCTCTGTGATCTGCCACGTCACTTGGGGTGGCTGATTGCCATAGAAGAGGAACACAGAATATGGGAAGGTGCTGGGGAGGCTCCGCTGCCTGCCTGGGGTCCCTCCCTGGTCGTGGATGCCCTCCTTGGCCCCGTCCCAGGGGTCTCAGGCAGAGCTCCAAGTGGTCTTGCCTTCCCTCAGCACTCCTGGGAGACCACGCACATGAGTCGGGGGCTGGGGAGGGGATAGGGGCCACACTGGGAAAGGATAGGGACTCCGCTGTGTGCATCCAGTGGCTTAGGGGGTAGTTATAAATAGAGACTGGTGTAAGTTCTGGGTCGAGAGAGCAGAAACAAGCAGATTACCTGGTGATTAGCAGAGGCCAAGGATTTGCCGGCACGGAAGGTCCGGCTCCTGGGGCCGTGGTAGGCGCTGGACACACGCCTTTAGGGCACCGTGTGTTGGGGTCCACAATGTGACCCCACGGCCCTGTGGCAGAGCTCCTGGAGTCCCTAAGAAGTGTCTTCCAAATCTTCTCAAGTCCAGAGGGTTCCAGATGAGACCCCGCTGACTTCACAGTGGCCCCAAGGGCATGCTTCCCCATCCCTCTGCTCCCCACCCCACTCAGGGTGAGGTGCGACAGCTTCCCATCTCCTCCCTCCAGGGGTCAATGTCTCAGCCAACCAAGACGAAGAACTGGATCATGAGACCTTCCTGATGCAAATCGACCAGGAGACAAAGAAGTGCACCTTCTATGCCAGAACTGGCGGCTACTGGACCCTGGTCACCCACGGGGGGATCCAGGCCACAGCCACACAAGTGTGAGTGCAGCACCCACCTCTCCCACCACCTGCACCACATCACCATCACCACCTCCATCCCCACTACCACCTGCATCACCATCCACCACCATGGGGCCCACTGTAGCAGCCCAGCCAGGGCCAAACGCCCACTGAGGTGGGGGCGTACTGGACTGGAGGAGGATGGGGAGGCCCACCTGAGCTCCCACGTCCTGCTTCTCTGAGGGGACCCTGCCTGCCCCTTCCAGCTCAGCCAACACCATGTTTGAGATGGAGTGGCGGGGTCGGCGAGTGGCCCTCAAGGCCAGTAACGGGCGCTACGTGTGCATGAAGAAGAATGGGCAGCTGGCCGCCATCAGCGACTTTGTGGGTGAGCACTCCCCAGCTGCCCTGGGGGGCCGGGGCTGGGCCCTCTGCCCAGGGACAGTGGCAGCTCAGAGACCTTATGTTCATCCAGGATCCGCCCTGCCCCGAGCTGCGGCCGCCCTGGCCGTTCCTGATAGTTGCTCCTCGTGTAGGAAGCAGTTAGAGCCCAGAGCCCCTCACCTCTGCTGCACATTTGGGGAACCGGGGGCTCCACGGCTGCAGGGCCCCCGCCAAGGTCACATAAGGCAGTGGCAGTGGCAGATGCAGGCACACAGACGGGGCGGCGAGTCCGGGCCGGAGCTCTTGGGCGGGGTGAGCCCCGTTTGCGGCCCGCGCCCCCGCCCCCCGGCCTG